GGACAGCGGCACCGGCGGGCGGGACGAGGCAGGCGCAGGCGGACGATATCACGAATATCGGGCCTAGCTGTGCCGTTCCGTCGTGACGTCCACACCTCTACCGACCTTTACTTTCCTCTCTACAGCCCGCGCCACGGCCTTTGCGCTGCGCTGCCTTGGTACCCCGATAAACCACGATAAAGATGGCGAAAAGGTTTGCTGACATGTTATGATCGGCGAACAGATGCGTATGGGCGTATGTATTTTGGACATTGTGACCTTAGACATACCCATGTTTCGCATCGGCTGTCACAAATTTCAGGCAGCTACAAAACCGGCTCAGAATGAAGCTGAGAATGTTTCATCCATCTCCTAATCTCTCCTAATTTCATACATCTCTTGATCGTAGTACTACGCACATCACGGGCACCCCATAGCGTGGGTATGCCTATGATAATTTATTAACGCTTGTTTATTACATGCAGCAGTGCTGTGGCGTATTACATTACAGCTCAGTATAATATAACTGATCCGCGATATCACGCCGTCATTTTGTAACACTCGGCGATGTCTCACTAGGGCGAGTTATGGCATGGGTATTTACATCAGTACATATCACATTCAAGTGATGTGCAATGTATGACATTGCCAAGGGCTGTTCAAGATTCCAGAAGCTATTCAAGAAACAGTTTGGGCACGCAGCTACATGCATGAGCAAAGCTGGGCGACTCCTGGAGACATCGTAATCTGACCATTAAACCATTTTACGAGCTGTCGATCCTAAAGCGCATGAAAATATCAAGGTTGCGGCAATTCATGAGCGGTGATGATGCCAGTATCTGAATGGGGTGAGTTGTAACCATCTTTCATTTGTAGTTTGTGCTCCGAAACACATCGTTCCGTTTTTGTTTTCGTTCTGACTGCTGGCATCGTTCAGGTCATGCAGGTGGAATAAAAACACCACGATGTCCGGTTTGCACAGGCATGCACATACTTATATTGGAAGGGGGGAGGGGGCATGCTCTAGTCGCTGGGGATGGCGTGGGCCGGACGATCATAAAGCCCGTTCAATCATCAGTGCGTTTCAGACCATTTTCTGCAGCAGATTCTGCAGTCGGACGGCTGACGTCAGGTCAGTTTGTGTGAGATGACTTCATCCTGATCACCAATGAAAACGTCGGTCTGGTGTTGACCATTCGCTGCTGCCTGCAGCAGGTCCTGCTGCAAACGACGTAGAGGACTACAACCAGGCCATTACAGACGACGAGAATTTCGATAAATATGTAGAGCTATGTGGCTAAACCGCACCGAACTATTTGTTGTGATTTTGAGCGAAAAACCATCTTGTGCTACCCCCTCCCCTCATAAAGCACCCCCAAGTACTTAAGCATTGCTAGAACCTCGGCAGCACCTCAGAGAGAATTCAGAAAATATACTGGTGTTACGCCCACTGATGTAAATTATCACAGATGCTTGGCTTCATCAGCTTGGCTGTTGGCCCAGTCCATATGATAGCAATGGACAACTACGTCCGTCGCCGGGCTCGGCCCACGCGCATAAAGCTTCTGACAGGTCTACGGCTGTTTTTGTTTGTGTTTCTTATAGTTGCTTTCGTCAAGCATTTCAACACTCACTACGTATGCGTGTCACAACGCAACGCAAACGCGGTCAGGTTAAATGTAATTGGAGATAGCAGCGCCTGCTCTGGAAACTTATGCACGCACCGCCATGCCACGCGTCACGGTTCGTGCGGGAGCCGGCCTTGGGTGGGGCAAATTGTCGTTCTAATCCATATTCCACAATCCACTGCCAACAAACGACGGAGGCGTCTGTCCTAGCTTAGCGGGCTGTAAATAAAGTTGCACATCCATCGCGCCAGTTACAAAAACGCGACTTATGACAACAAATCGTGTTATCCGTTACATTGGTTACCAAGATCGACCATTGACAATTGTAGCCACACTTAACAGAAAGTGTCATTTGCTACATTGGTTGACCTTCCACCATTCCAATCATCTCGAGCCAGGCTTCCGATCCGTCCAGGACACTTGAGCGTGGCAGGTTGGGAAGGCTGAATCAAAGGTCAAATGCGTTCACTTACGGGATTTTTCGACATCCGCCACCTTACGGTGAAGCCACCCAGAAAAAAATGTATAATGCCATGTGTTTCCTAATTAAAATTTACCGAACGTACCATTAAGCCTAGCTATCTTTTAGCTGCTTTCAGTTTGGTAATTCGGAAACACTGCTTGTTAGACCTACATTTCAGCCTCGCTCTAAAAAATGAAGCTGGTTAAGTGGTTTTGGTGGAACAATGATTTTTTCTTAAATATCTAATCCACACCTTTTGAAATAATGAATTTATGGGATCAGAGCTCACGCTAAGCGGTGTTTGTTGTGTGACCCCTGACCCCTGCCATCCGATTGCGCAACCCCAGGTCAAGGGTATAATTCGGTGGGGAAAGTTTAACGTACCGCGATGATCGGCACGCTCCGTCCTACCCTCTGACGTCACCTGACCTTTAGCGCGACCGCTGCCACCGACCGCGAGCCACGCATGTCAAGGGCAAACGGCGAGCGCACTAAAACGCATCGGATCCACCTCGCTACGGGTGGGTGGGTGGATCGGAAGGCAGGTGCTGTCACCAACTGACCCATCAAGACAGACAACCCACATCTCCTTTAAAGGCATCTCCACACCATAGCTAGAGATTTTACCTTACTATACAACCTGTTTTTCTCAAAAACTTATTTAAAGAAATATATTACTAATTTCCGCACCACGGACAATACGTAACATCTGTTTTGTGTAAGTGCCATTCGTGCAATTGGCTACAGAAATACCAAGCTTAAACGGAGCCATTTCACTATATCACACTTCTGACACGATCGCTGTGGCTTACACCGGTACAGATATATTACTCTAGTTCTGATTGGAGCCGTTATCCAAACCGTCACACACGAGCACAGTGACATAGGCAAGAGTGGGATTATGGGGTCATGAACCCCAATGGGACAGCAGAACTAGTAGGGTTTGGAGCAGAGCAGCAGAGTGCTTTTTGGCAGTTCAAGAAGACCTTGATAATTATAAACCATAAGCAACGGGATACCGAAACATCCAAATAGCATGTCAAGCCTAAAAAGGCAAACCCGTAGAAAACGCAAGGCTGGGGAAATCCGAATAAAAAACCGCGTTTTTCACGCGACGCCCCCTGGATGGAAAGACCCTGTGATCGGATTTGGCCGGCTCTTGGGTGAAATCCTAGCTACCCCGCTATGCGAGGATATATCCAGGAGGAAATACATATTGTGTAAAGTTGTTCGCACATTCGATAAAACACAGCGTTTTTATTTGTGCATCCGGCAGTGTGAATAAGGCATTCGCCGTTGCCTTTAAGGCACCTGAGACGCAACTTTCACAAATGCTTGAAATGCTATTTGTGCCGTACCTTCAACGAAGCCAATATCATTACGGACTGTTTGCAAAGTGACCAACTTTAAGCTACTTGGCCCTCCAAACCAAAAAATTACATGTAACTGACGACTGATCGAAGCTTCAGTTCGGCGAGGATCTGATGATGGATTGCTGTCTTCCAAATACTCTATAATGCAGCAGCGAACACGAAAACACCGATTTTTGTCAAACTTTGTGATGTTTAAAGCGAACTCTGTTCGAACCAAGCTCAAAGTAATGCTTACCTTGAGCTTAAGACGTCCGCCAGGGCCTCTAATCTCTTGCTCTGACCCGTCCAGCTGCAAAAATTGTTTTACTCTTTCACGGCCCAAAGTCTTGGTAACGGCATAATATGAGCAGCGTTGATGGCATTTTACAATGACTAATAACACAAAGCTGTCAAAGAACAGCTTTGGACAGCTTTGGATGATGAGGTGAAGAGGGAAGGGAACGAAGAGCTTGCGGTGCAGCCCAACTTGTTTGAATTGCTCCACACTGCGCGCACCCTCGCATCGCCTTTTCTTTTACTACGCACGACTCCTGAGCCGTGATAGAAATTCGCATAAACTTTTCAGGATCGGTCTGAAAATAACGTTGGGCATCCGGAGTCAGCGGCATTCTAAACAACCAGCAACAGATGCCCTGTATGGCCCATCACTGACGTAGGTCCTTGGTTCGCACGCTATCATGAAAATATGCATCTTCATTTCAAAGTTGCCTCTCGTCACCAGCGACGTTTCTGCTCCAGACACCTGTTTTTTATTCGTTTTGTATTCGTATTCGTTTTTTATTATTCTATTATACCTTTTTCGACTTGGCGTGCTATATTGACGCGTGCCGGCCATATCTATGTACATTTGGTCTTCTTCTAAACTCCCCAAAAATATTGCGGATTTTGAGCCCAGGGAGGCCGTCATGATGTAAGCAGGCCACCGTGCTTCGGACTTAACTGTCGACATTTACGCCACTGTGGTCATCGTACTTAGCGCTTCGCAACCAGGAGGCGTGTACACTACCTCAATGTCATGAGTTGCCTGCTGGTAAAGACATTTTGTTACCACCTGCCAAGCGCACACGTCTGGTTGAGCCTAGTTTCCTCAGGTTTGCACATGTCACAAGGCATTTTAAGGAATTTCGAAAATAATAATACCAATGGCCGCTCGTTGGGATGCACCATAAGTATAGATTTACTCCTACCCACCCTAAATACGAGAATTACTCAGATCTAGATAACTGTGTTTCCACCTGCTAACAACAAATGACAGAGGAGACGCCGGGATCTTGCTGCGCTGTTTGAGGGAACGATAATGGGTCTAGGAAAGGAAAGTATTTGGTCAGTGAGTGGAAATTTGGCCACGGTGATTTGGCCATTGGCTGCGTAATTTACGCGCACTGGCCTACGCTCCGAATTACACAGATAAGCCGGTGTAATTGAGCGGGCAACAAGCTTTCAATTTGTGGACGTTTTCTCAATACCAATGCCATTTACATTTGAAATTGCTGTGCTCTCGGTGATAACTCGAAACTTGGTTCTGTGCCATCAGTCCACATTTGTCCCCCTGCTTACCCTTGACGGGCACGTGAAGCCTGTAGTTGCAGCGTCCCACTCGAGTTCGGAGCAGAGTTGCTCTCCCGAATCACTCGCGCACGAAGCCAAAGTCAACAAGCCCTCCCCTCAGCTCCTGAACACTCCGCCCCGCCCCGACACTGGCCAGGTCCTTCAGCGTCGAGCACTACTAACACACTGCTCGGACCATCGCGCCCCCCTCCCCGCAATCAGGGCCCACGCGACGCCACCGCCTCTGCCGGCCGACCAAGGAACTGCTGCGACGCGCGGACGGGTGCGCGCCTATCTTCAGGCCGATCGCGGCACGACACGCGGCTGCAGAGATGTGGGCGCGGATTCGCGGAGCTGCGTCAGCGGCACGCCTTCCTTAGTGGTGCTGCAAAGTACAGGAATGCGACCCGACTTAGAATACTAGATGGCTTTAAATAGCTTTAAACGGAAACTTGTAGTAGCTCTAGTTTTTTTTTAAGCTTGAAATAGCAGCGCCAAGGATAAGCGGTTGTTATGATGCACTAAATGCACGCTACTAGGAACAGTAAGCTTCGAATTCTGAATCTATACGCGCGTGTACTGGAGCGGTGGCTTGCTTTCACGTGGATGATAATGAACTGTTTATGTCAGATGGCACTTAAGTTTCTGTGTTATGTTTCTGTGCAACCCAAGTAGCAGCCTCGGTGTTTTCGCTGGTGCATGCCTCGCTGGCCCTTCCGCTGCAGCCCACTACTGCAACCCGCATGCTGCAGCCACGGCTCTGCTTTCAATCACAAGCCTCCGCCACAATACAGGTACTTGTTGTCGCTGTTTATCATAGCTCGGCCTTCTCGCATCAAATGAGCACATTTGACGCTTGCTTTTTTCCATACCTTTCGTTCTATGTCAAGGCTAGTTTTTCACCTTTTCGTTCATATTTCTGTTCAGTGGCCCGTGTGACGGCGAGCTCGCCACCTGTGTGAGTCGTTCCTGTTCCGAGTCTTGTCTGGTCCTTAAGCTTTCATCTCCACTCGAACCGACGTCAGCGTAGCAACCTCAGGCAAGGCAGAGGCAGGAGGCCCATGAGCGCTGGGGACGAGGATCAGGGCTTTCAGGTGAGGTATTGGCCATATCTGTTTGTCCCATTGACCCTCGCGGGCAATCCCAACGCGTCCGTTGGTGCAATTCAATCCATTCTTGGTCGCATCATAAGGCTCATCCTCGTCCTGCCCCCATCCATCTTGTTCTTCGCCACCTCCCCACTCAAGCACCTGGCTGTACTTGCCTCAGTGCACGTGCACAGCAGCGCCATCGGTGTCATTTCAGTGTGTCATACACAGCAAGGCCAATGGAAGGGGGACTTGTGACCAAACACCATGCATCCGCATAGCCCCTATTCAAGTGAAATTGCAGCATTGCATTACGGCCCGTGGAGAAAATTTCCGTTTGATGCATGACTTTTATTACACTTTTTGGGAAACATTGCAGCCTGTGATTTGGCTACCTTCGTAAACTGAATACGATGAGGTACAAACTTCATAAACTTTTACCAGAAATCAGTGTGAGCATACTTTTCATTTGTGTGAACATAGTCAAAGTTGAGCTGACATTACCGACCGCGTCCGGTGCTAATGAGGGTCATCATTTGGGCATGCTATGACGTTACTTGGCCAGCGTAGTCAGTTGCGTTTATCGTTCTCGCTGTTTTTCCTCTCGCCGGGGAGCAGAACAATCGATGGTATTTTTCTCTTACTCGCACCCTCCCTCACTGCCTCTCACTCTCGCTCCCTCCCTCTCTTTTTGTCATCCCGAGTCTCAGTGTGTTTGTTTGTCAGTCGCTATCCACTCCGTTTCCAGCCCGAATGAAGTTTGGTCGCTTCGGCATGAGAGTCCATGCCTTTGGGACGATTTACCGAGGTCCGGGTAGTGATTTGCATAGCGCTCGCACTTTGTAAACATCACAAAGTCCGAAACCTGGGAATGAACAGGTCTGGCCTTCGTCAAATGGCGGCTAGTGACGAAGAATTAGAAGCGAATAGAAACTTCGTTTGGTTTGTGCCTCTTTCAGTAATGCACCGACGGCTCATGTGCGGACAAGCGCCGTGCAATGGTTTCTTCGGGGCATCAGCCATGACGCAAGAATGATGCGAGCTACGGCACACACTGCAGTTCAAACTGTAACAATGAACGCGACATGTGTTACATTGCAACAAATGTAGTTTATAGTTACAAACAGTGCATTGACACTTATTTATATTACACATTCGTTACAGTGTGGCTTCATTACCATGATGATTACTTCATCTAAGAGCGTCACAAGTTTCTTGCAGAACTTGCTTAGCGAAACCGTTGCGTTTGCCAGATTTCGCGTACGTTTGCAACAGCGTCGCTTCGTGGATCGTTCGGCAACAGTAACAGGCTACAAGACGCACGAATGTTTACAGACAGATTATAGATGAAGAGTGCCACCTCACCCTTGCATGTAAGTGGCCCGGATGTACTACACACTACGGCGGCCGGACGGTCATTTGATGGTGAACTGGCCGCGCAGGACGGCACATGTGGACCAAGGCGGCACGCCCAATCAAAACATTAGCTGGGAATCACCGATACTTGGCTTCTCCCATGGTCTTGACCACTGTACCACGCGCCGGCATGGCCAGTTTTGCCACATGGTGCAGCGTTTCTTGATCGGTGAGTGTGTGTGTGTGTGGGGGGGGGGGGGGGGTAGAGACGCAATGCTCCTAAAATGCCAGCCCACAGCGGGACTCACCCCGGCCAGCTAGGGGTTCATCCCGAGAAGTCCGCTATGCTACCGTGCGTAGTGATCAAAATAGCCTGACTATGAACTTCCGATCGCATAAAAGCACATCTTATAAAGTGTGGAGCCAGTTTCCGATTACAAACTGGAATAAATGGGGTGGGGTTTAAATGACCTTTAACCAAAAAATATGAGAAAATTCGCTGGTGTATCTCATTCAGTACCCCGCAGACTAGATCTTCAAAAATTGCGTGCATCGGCTGATTGCGTGCATCGGCATCGGCATGAGCTTTGCGCTGACTGAATAAAGAAATTATGGATGCTTCAAATCGTGGGAAGACTCTTCAGTTCATCACGATTCACACGGTTGCAAACGTCAATGGAAGGCGTTACAGTGGCCGCAATGTCATAACCCACATCCAAGAACCAAATGCAGCATATGATTGGTGTTTTCTGTCTGAAGTGGATACATCATGTAACAGCGTGAAATTAATACCCATGCAGCTTTGAAATGACCCACTTTTCCCTTTTACCAGCGTCAATATTTCATTACACGACGGCTATCACCGCGCAGGTTTCGATGCTGAGTACGAGCAAGGATACCAAACGGATTTTCACCAAGCGTTTTCGCCACCCACGTGACATTATTCGCATTAAGTACTGCCACAAAACTGTGAGATATTGTGAAATGTTGAAGCAGAATTTCTGCGAAAATGAAAAATTGAGCACACCATGTCAAGACCCTCCGTCAACATTTCACCCAGCTTGGGCGCCATTGGAGCTGAACAGCGCACACAGCTCCTGAGGCTATAAGAAGTCGCCGGTCTCTCATCTTGGTAGGAAGGGTGGGTACCTCGGGCATGCCAACCGCAACTTTGAAATCTATATGGAAGGCTTGATTGACGTCATGTAATGAACTGAAATTCTTAAACAGATCTGTATGCAGATACATGAGCTGAAAGAGTTGAAAAAAGCAAACAGAACAGCAATATTTCTGATATATGTATATATATATATATATATATATATATATATATATATATATATATATATAATATACGTCCATTGAAAATTAATGGCAATCGCAAAAAGGGTGAAAGTTAGCGTGCGTAAGAGCCCCTGCTACCGTGGTAGTAGACTGCTCCTCAGGCATAACTAGACAGACTCTAAGTTACCACTTTTTCTAATACAGCTCTCACGCGTATGATACACCAATAACTGCAGGCCAGGGCAGCAGTGACAGCTCCGGCTGGGGTAGTCGTGACATCTTCGACTAGGGCAGCCGTGACAGCTCCGGCTAGGGTAGTCGTGACAGCTCCGACTAGGGCAGCCGTGTTTGCCTGGCGCTCCGCCGTGGCAGTGACACGTCCCGCCGTGGCCGTGACTCGCGCCGGTCGCCGTCGGCAGCCGCGCCGTCCGCAACGGAGACGGTGGGCTTGACCGTGTGTCGACCGTCTGCAACGCTAACGCATCCGACCCCGGGCGCGGCCCGCCACAAGATACCGTTCTGCGCCGCCCAGGTCGTATTCCTGCAGCGGTGCAGGCGGACCGCTGCGCCGGGGGCGCTCAGCGGTACTTGGGACGCTCAGCGGTGCGTGCTGTCTGCACCACCGCCGTCGCCCACGTCAGGGGCCGGGGGACACGCGGCCAACCAAGCCCTCAAGCAGGCAACGCGGCCAACGACTGGGTGGTCACGGTCGTCGTGCGGCCGAGCGTGACCTGTCACGTGACCCAAGCTGCGTAACGTCGCGTGTGGGGTTACACGGCCAGGCAAGCGAGCAAGCTCTCGGAAGGGGCGAGACATTTGTTTGACTTCAACCGCCACGGCGTACGTTGTGGTTCGCATGATGATCAGGGCAGCCCGCAGCGATCCGTGTTAGGACAGTCGTGCGGATATAATGCTGCGGTGGCGGGAGACCCGTTGCCTACAACATCCGGAGGGCTCTGTATACCACAATTTTTGTCTGGATTTTCTGGAGCGTTAGTCCGAGTGGCCATGCCATGCCGCCAGCTAGCTGAGCCTGTATCGCCGCGCTTGCGCAGTGTGTCACGCGGCATGCAGTAGACTTCACGGGCCCAGGCCATCCACAAGGCAATAAATCCTCCGGGTGCGAAGAACCTGGAATTAAGGTCTCACTTCATTCTCTTCTAGACATCTCTCGTGCAGCCAGGGACCCAATAAACAATCACATTTTTATTGGTCGTTATTCGTGACATGCCTTTTTAATTGCGTAAGATTTGCATGCTTCAATCGCATGATTCAGGTTGCGGTATGGTGAGTACACTACACGGAGCATAAACGACACGGCACATTGACGAGTCCGGCTATCTGGTCACCAAAAGCACCAGTCATGCACATCGTACCCCATATTCATGACGCATCAACTCATGCGTATCTATAGCCATGACATATGACGGTTATCTCA